GGGGGGTTAGGTTGGGCTGCAGGTGGGCTGTGCAGAAGACCTCGGGCTGAGGGGAGAGAAGAGAGGGAGAGGCCCGACAGTAGTCTTCGGAGACCGAAAATGTCCGACGATTTGACCGACTATAATGCCGCTATAGTTATCCGTTGGGACGTCAAACGGACTCCGAATGCGATGAAACTTGGCAAGCGGTCTACTGGCAACAAAACAACACCGCACACCAACTTTCATCCCATTCCGAAAACATTTGCCGATCACTTATAAAATAATATTTCGGACATGTCACGGACGCGTGCGAGTGTGTCTGGGCTCAGAATGGACAACGGAAAGAACTGGGAGAAACCCGGACAGATGCAAGTTTTGAAAACATGCAGATGCAATGCGGATGATGACATGACAAGATACAACACACAAGCGAATGACAAGACAACAATAACGAATAACTGGAAGACACCTGGCGCATCGGTCTTGACGTCAAACTGAGTCGCTGGATGCTTTCACGCAGATGCAACCGGCCGAACCGCTCCGTTGTGAAACGTTTTCCTTCAAAGGCGGTTTGAAGCACATGGACGCCACCTAAGCAAAGATTCTTTGCATGGTTAATTTTACGATGGTTGCCAATGGCAAAGGAGGGGATGGCCGAAAGGTGGCTCAAGTCAATTCTGCAAGAAAGAGCTGGAGACTGCCGTGCATCTTCTACTCAAGTGCAGATTTTCTAGGCGCGTTTGGAAGGACATCAAAGCGTGGCTACGTCTTATTGACACTGAAATAAACCATTGGCAAAACTTCAATCGAGTGTTGGAGTGGCGGAGCTCCTTGGTCTTGCTCACACATTTCTCTTGCTTGCTTCGTGGGAGCTTTGGAATGAACTGAATGGACAGTTCTTCAGGAATGTATCTTCTATGCCTAGAGTAGTTGAGCGTTAAATCAAAGATGAATCAGCCTTGTGGGTTTTTGCTGGGGCAAAGCATTTAAGTTTGATCATGCCAGATCCTCAAAAGACAAACTTTGATCATGCCACGAGAGTAGAAACTTTCGGACACGAGAGTTTGTTCTCTTGTAACTATTTCCAAATTCTTTCCTAATCAATGAGATGGGGCAAAGCTCGTGCCTCCATTTAAAAAAAATGAGCTGAATTAAGGACATATATAGTTAAAAAAAATGTAATCTGAAGAAATGGACAGCCTCATCAGTTTCAGCAGCCAGGGGGTTGCCACCACCGGGAAAGAGCGGCAAACAAACGCAAACCAGGGCCAAGGTTTTCTCTCGCTAACCATTTTCAAGCAAAATTCCACAATAGTGCATAACTGCAGATGAGCATTCCCATTTACTCCCTCCGTCCCAAAATAGATGACTCAACTTTGTACTAACTTTGTGGGTCATCTATTTTGGAACGGAGGGAGTATTTGCTAGGAAATCTGATGGCAGATCTTGTGGCGAATATCTCACAAAGCAACATGCTGAAATCCAACTGCGAGACCCAAGATAGCAAATAATCATTTAAGAGATACAGCTCTTTCCCCAATCCAAAACTCCACTTTTCATGCATCAAGTACAGACAACACAGATGGAGCACCTGGTGGACTCGAAATTACAAATCCCCAGAGAAACTGACAAGGTGGGTACAGATCTTAAGGATATCAAGTGTCAAAAGAACTTCACAGTTGACAGCAACTTAAACTCGATAGTCCATGCCAAAGCCACAGGACAATCGAGCATTCATCAAAGAAGGTCTACAGACCAGCAATGAGCAATCACTGAGATAATTTTTGTCTGACAATGTAATCACTGTATCCGGTATAATCTTTTCACATCACTAGTTGACATAAAGAAATTGAAGTAACCCAAGTACCTTCAAAGCTTCTAATGGATGGGCAGAAGAACCATTGTCAGAACCCAATAGCACTTACTTGGGCTGCACCAAATATGATGCCCATACATCATTAGCTGGAGGGGGTGGCTGAACCCAGTGGCCAGGTATACGGCTGCATGCAGGTGCAGACAGTCAATGCATTTAGAAGAATTCCCGCAAAAAAAATGCATTTAGAAGAATAAAAATACATGTAACTTTTGTTCAACACGGCACATCAGAGATCTCTGTCCACTCCAGTAACTAACTATTATGGTTGTGATTTAGACTAAAATGGATATGTGAAATTCTGTTCTTACAGAACTGCAATGAATGAAGGTTATCATAATTTACAAATATTAGCTGGTTCAATGACACGGTCTGGTATTACAGCCATACCATAAATAAAACTAGATGAAAGCTATATAGAAAGATCCACAAGCCATTTGCAACCTTAACGCACCATTAAGATATCAGCCTATATTTTACGAACTATAAATCCAGCTTTGTTGCTCACCAATGATGCTAGTTTATCATAGTGGACCTAAAGTCAGACGATTTGAACACACCATTACATGATGGTTTCTCATGAGTCTATTTTCCAGCTTATAAAACAAAACCTTTAAAGAATCAGCAAATCATATTTATACGGTGAATTTGCATTGGAGAAGGATGCTTGTGAAATAACTAGCATGGTTTAGTGCTGTTATTATCACGAGACAAGATAAAGCAGCATGAATTGACAAGTAAAAGCCTCACCTTCCTCCAGGTCTGATAAAAGAATCCCACATTCTGCGTACCTACAATCGGAGGTGAAATACATATAAGATACTGTATTGAGTAGCCTGAACTAGTATGAGATTTCGTTAAAAGTGAGGGTAAGTCATGAGATCAAAAAAGAAATGTGAGAATGTAGTTACAAGTGTAAAAAAAGTCAATATCTTGTTCTCTTGTTCTTAAATCATGAATTGGGTGATGTGCGTTTCATCAAGTATGAACATATTGCATTTTTTGCTATGCAATTTCAGTACCGGATCGACGTCCATTTATTTCTGTGTCCTCATCCGCGTGTATGTCTGTGTTAGATAGGCTCTGGAAGGCCTTACTTTACTAACAGGTAGGGCACGTTACTTTTATTCTTTTTTCCTACTCAAAGAAATAAAATATGAAATCAATAAAACTTCAACAGAATCTCCTACTTTCCTTTCACATAGCTCTCACTAGTGCTTGAAGCAATGGTTATCTGGTAGCTCCATAACATCCCAATGATGACATCCAGTAAAACCCAACAGACCATATCAAAGATTGTTAAGCCTAGTCAGGTAGTTCATTAACACCGTCCTACAAACCCGTGACACTTGCATGAAGTTGAGAGTTTGGAATAAATTACCTCAATGAGTGTCCCCAGGTCATAGCTACTTCCATGATAATAGTGGTAGAACTCAAAAGGCAGATTGGTCAGAGATTCGGAATGCACAGGACCTTTTATCTCGACCTTTTGATCATCATGTTCTGTCTTTTGACTTGCATGATCACTTCTCTCACTTATGCTTGCATCTCCTTGGTTCTGCTCTGGCGCCGACCCACTTTTAGGTTGTCCAAGGCCATCTTCTTGAGCAGTTGTATTATGGGCAGCCTTCCTTGATTCCTCAGCGGTGAGAATAGCATCCTTCGCAGCATCAGTTCGGGCAGCAGTTGCAGCTTGGCGCTCCTCTTCCTCAACTGCAGCCTTGACACGCTCAAGATATTTATCATCCTCTTCTGGCAGAAAATGACCTGAAATATAATTGTCGTCAGTGTTAATTATCAGGCATGCATGGGTTGCAATAGCCAGAATAAAGAAGGCTAATCATATCATCACACCTGGACAACTTTTATAAGTAAAAGTGTTGCCTACAACTGCGTACAGAATTCAAAAATTATGTCTGAGATAGTTCAGAGAACAATGTGACAGTGCTTCCTCCATTTTAATATAAGTCCATTTAGGGATTGTCAATTTACACTGTGATTCCATTTGAGAAAATCAAGGGTTTGGTTACAGCAATCTTATAAACCACTGCCCATTACGCTATGCGAGGGATTCGGGTGGTTATAGAATTCATTTACTACAGAAAAGAATGGTCCAACTAATGACTGATTTCGAGATGTCCTTCAAGCATACGGGATATGGGTCATGTGGCTGATTACGGAAGAAGGAGAGCGGGAGTGGCTAAATGGAGATATCTTGCCTTGTTTCTTCAGTTTTTCAACCCTTACAGAGCGGAGCTCCTGTAGTTTCTCGACCATTAGTGCAAGCTCGAGCTGTGAACGGCAGATTTTTTTTTTCAGAAAATAGTTAGTTGGAATAAGGTAATATTGCACTGATGCTTAAAAAATATTAAGAGCTTATAATCTACACAAACAACTCAAGAATTTGTAAACTGCTAGCACAAAAATCTGAAAGAAAGCAATCAAGCAAGGTACATGGAATCAATCACAGAAGTTGGGATGCACTCCACCGAAGACAACTAATTGGCAACTTCAACAAATCTTCAAGATAACATCTTAAAGAAATTCAACAAAAACATAAGGCATCAAGAGAAAGATCGGAAAATAACAATTGCATAACTTAAGGCTCGCAGCTAAACCTATCCAAAACTCAGAAAGTATTAACATGCTATTAGATTATATCTAAATTCAATTGTATGCACAGATCTTCTTGCAGAAAAACAATAAAAGACAAGGATTTAGAGTTCTGTACATACTTACCTCAGATTCTAGACGTTTTCTTTCCTCATTTGCTTTCTTCTTGGCAATCTGCTTCATGCTTTCCACCTGGTTTGTACATACAACAATGAGCTTGTTATTGTGGAACAGCTGTGTTTTCCTACTAGTTACTACAGATAAATCCTATGAGTGAAATGGCAGTTTCAATAAATGAGACAGCACCTTGCGTTTTGCAATGTCATTAGCTATTTGCCTAGCCCTCCATTCATCAGCTTCCTGATCAACTCTGTCAAATTCTGCACTTTCCTGCACAATATCAAGAGAAGGGAAGCCATGCATTTATTGGATATGTGGCCATTTTGATGCTAACTGAACATTTTCACAAAGATATGAACACAGAAACAAGTGAATTGAGTTCCACCTTCTGGAAAAGCTCTGCTACATGCTTTCTCTTCCTCTTCCTCCATCGCTTATTTCTCTTGGACTTCTGCAGCTTCTGAGCTAACGAAACCATTGCCGATTTTTCTGCCCAGGGACCGTCTTGGTTAATAGCGGAAGAAATAGGTGCCAGGAGGTGCTGAAGTTGAGAACAGAGATAATTGGCCGCATCTGTCGCCAGAGATTCATGAGTGTCTTGGCTAATCTTGATTTCACTTGCAAGCTCTGAAAAATGGCAAGGCCTGCCTGGAGAAGAGACGCCAGACCCTGAAGACGATGCTACTGCAGACGAATCTGGTTCTTGTGCACTAGCATCCGATGAATTCCTCACAAGTGCAATCTCCTCTAGCTCGTTTATCCTGCCAATCCAAATCCTTTATTTCAGGACAAATGGCACAGAGACTGGATACACGGTCATAACTACCTTTGGGAATTTAGGGAACTCACAGAGCGCTTGAAATCGCGACGGTCTCTTGCAGCTTCTTCAAATGCTCCCGCACATTGTCACGCTGCCAAAAGGAACTGGCCGCCGCCAGTGCCGCCGCCTCAGGCTGGAAAGGGAGCTGCTGGTGCGGGTGGTGGTGGTGGTGCTGCTGCTGCTGCTGCCACTGCCACTGCCATGGCGGAGGCTGAGGAGGCCGCAGTGGTCCAAAGGCATTCGGCTGTGGGAACATGACGTCCTGCTGCGGCGGGGTAGCCCTGCAGACAAGGAAAAGCTCGTCAAATCCATGGAGCGGAGGGGCCGCCGCGAGCGACTGCGGGTCAGAGGCGCATGGGGAGTTACCTGAGAGATGGATGTCGTCTTCGCCGTCTGCGGATCAGTCGCAGAAGGTATTCGGACTTGTCGCCGGCGGCGGGTCGCTCCTAGGTCTTGTTGGCGCCCCGACTCCGTCACCTCGCGTGAAATTAAGTGGAGACAGTAGGCTGAACTCCGGAGAATGCACTAGGGGCGTGGACACGTGGTGAAGGGAAAGGGAGGAAGAGATCGAGTCCGGCGGGGCGAGGCAAGGCAAGGCGGCGGCTCCGGCGGAGAGGGGAGGAGCGTGGCTGGGCTTTTTTCTTCAGATCATAGACTTTTTTTTTTTTGAGAAGATCTTCAGACAGCCCCGACTTCCGGGGGAGCTCCTATTCACCGCATTATGCGGCAAACAGACCTCCCTTCGCACAGGGCGCGCCCGACTGGCCCGGCCTATTTTGAGTTGAAAAAACCTAGCTGTCCGGCAAAAAAAATCGTAAAAACAACGAATCGAGCAAGCTCGGATTCGAACTAGACACCTGCTGATAGCGAATTAGTCCAGCTAACCAGTCCACCTATTGAACATTGTCGACGAAACTAGCAGAGTGAGCCATAAAGTACTATATTTAGTTGCGTAAACGGAACATTACTTAAAACCTTGCAAACAATGTTTCAAATTTAGAACACTTTAATTAAGTTAGGAATATTTTTTAACACACACGAACGAATTTAAAAATTCCCATCATCTTTTGAAGCTATGAAGAAATTTTCAACTTCCTGAACATTTTTTCGTAAATGTGAACATTTTTGGAATTTGTAAACAAAACTCGAAAAGTGGAATTTAGTTTGAAATTATATACAATTTGTATAAAACAAGAACATTTTTAAAATTATCAATACATTTTTGAAAACGTGAACATTTTTTAAAATTCCAGAACATGATTTGAAAACATGAACATTTTTTGAATTGGTGAACAAATTTTGAAAACAGGGACAACATCCTAGATTCATAACAAAATTTATAAAATGAGGACGAATGGAAAATCCTGGTTTTTTTTGGAAATGAGAACAATTCGGAAAAGCTTGCACGTTTTCTGAAATTCCTGAACAATTTTTTTGAATTTGTGAACAAAAATAAAAAAAGGTGAACATTTTTTCATATTCCCAAACAGTTTTTGAATTTGCAAACAAAATTTCAAGAACATGAACATTTCTGAAATTTGTGTACAAATTTTCAATATAGGGACATTTTTTGAAAATCGTGAACATTTTCTGAATTTGTGAAAAAAAATAACATGCAAACATTTTTACAATTATAAAATTCTATTAGTTTTAGATTTTGAAACATTTTTTGTAAAAGAAACGAACAATATTTGAACCTCCAAACATTTCTAAAAAGACGAACAAAATTTAAAATTTCAAACATTTTTCAAAAGACGAACAAAAATTAGAAACCACAAAGAATTTTGAATTTGTGAACAATTTAAAAAAAAAGCAGGAACATGTTTGAAATGCCGAACAAATTTTGTAAGCCCGAACATTATTTGAAACTCCCTGAATTTTTTTTGAATTTGTGAACAAATTTTGAAAATGATTACATTTTTTGAAATTGTGAACAAAATTTTGAAACCACAAAACAGGAACATTTTAGATTTAAGAACAAAATTTGAAAACAGAAACATTTTACAAAATTTGAACTTTTTTAGAATATTGAACATTTATGAAAAAAATTTAAAAAACCCGACCACAAATAAAAAGAAAAAAAGAAACAAAAAACCGGAGAAAAAGAAAAAAAACGGTTCAGGGAACCTTCTAGAAGGTTCCCAACCGGAGGGGTAGTGCGAATGCGATCTACTCAAATGGCCCGGCCCAGTCGCGTCGATCGGCCGCTCACCTGTGCGTTTCTCCGGCAACTTGCCGCAACGAGCAGCAAATAGGAAATTCCGACTTCCGGACCGTGCGCCTCTTTTTTCTTTTTTTTTTGAGCAAAGGACTGTGCGCATCTAAAAAAACAAACCCGACATGTGCGGGGTACGCTGGCAAATTGGGCCTATGAGGGACTAGCCTGCTTCGTTAGCCAACTCGCCTGGCAGGCAACAATCTCAAGCGTCCATTTTCTTTTCATTTTTTGAGGGTACGCCAATAACGTACCTTAGCTTTATAGTACAAGGGAGAAAACATGTACAAGAGATTACAATTGCGCTGGTTAGGAGTCACAAGTCGACCTTAACCAAGCCTCCACCCCACTCCCTCACTCTACTCGATTACTCAAATACTAGTTGTCCTCCAAACGCCCCTGCCGTGGCCTAAATCCTCAAATCGTCGAAGATCATGTCCACCGTATCCCACTCATTCTTGATCTGGCCCGATCCAAATATCCTCGCGCTCCTCTGCTTCCATAGTGTCCAACAGATTAGCATCACGAATGTGTCAAATCCTTTTCGAGTTTGCTTATGTATTCGTTTCCTAGCTTCCGTCCATCATTGCACCAACCGTGAGTCATTTGTTGGGCACAGCTCCATCCTCATACCCATCCTATCAATGCAAACGGTACCACACTTGCCACAAAAACACACATTGCTGCAAAATGTGGTCAACTGTGTCCTCCTCCTGGTCACATAAGTAGCATTTTGACGTTTGGTCTTGCAAACCATGTCTAGTCCTTCTATCCGACGTCCACAGTCGGTATTGCACTGCAAGCCACATGAATATCTTACATGCAAGTGGTGCCTGGCATTTCCAGATGGCCCCAAAAGAGTGGAATCTAACTCCTCCCTCACATAGCATCTGGTAGGCTGATGATGTTGTGTAGATACCTAACATGTTCCAAGTCCAAATGGGGCGGTCTTCTATCTGATCATCCAACTGAACCTCCGTGATGATCTCCCAAAGTCCGATGAACTGGGTTAAATCCTTTGTGCATAGGTTACCCACTATGTTGTTCATCCATGCATGCATGCATGCAGATAGCATCTCGTACCAGTCTCCTATTGGCAACTTCCGTACGAACCGTCGCCACAACCAAAGGGGCGATATCTATGATGGTTGCACCCTGTAGTCGTCGATCTTTCCAAAACAAGGTTTTGTCTCCCGATCCAACCTTCCATTTAACCAGGCTCCCAAAAGCTTGGTCCACCTTTTTGTCCGCGGTCAAGTTGAGACCTGGCCAAGGCTTGGATGATATTCCCATCTTAATATTAATGCAATGCCATGCTTAAATAGGTCAATGTCAGGGGTGTCATGCGACATTTAATTGGTGAAGGATACACATAATGTAATTCTTATTCTTGTTTCATCCAAATGATTAATTCCCTATTCCGGAGGCTCATCAAATTCTTGATCTCAAATGTTCATCTTCTCTTTTCCCGGAGTTCCAACCTTTTTCAACTATTTCATCACGAAGCTCCATTTAATCATTCCAAGGCTTCACCTTATATTATCAACTTCTCTTTCCTCTCGTGTGATCATCCTTTTTGTTACCAAAATTCTTCATGGAGGTTCTACATGATGGTTCATCAAGGATTTATATTCCTTCTCGAAGTGTTCATTGAGGTTCTTTTTTTAAGGAGCTCAAGCATTCTTCATCTTGCATTCCGAAGTGCAATTCCTTCTACCGTATCATTGGAGGTGGTATTATGTCATTCTTGATGATTTCCCTATGTGGTTCATGATTCACATGTTGTCAAGATTGAGATATCTTAAATCCATCAATCTCGTCATTGGAGTTATCTTGGGTTATATTTCACCTAAAGCCTTCCCTAAGGATTGTTACTATCTATGGTGCTTATAAATGCTCCAAGTTCTTCATTAATCCTCCCGGTGAAAGAATCTTCTCGTCTCCTTGTTTGTATCAATCCAATTTATCGTTTTCGTTAGTGGCAGAATTTCACCTCGTAGTTTTGAGATGTTCTTCATAAGCCCACTACAAGCTTACTCTTTTCGTTGTTGGTGCAACAACTCCGTTCGACTTTTCTCCTGGGGATGCCTTTTCAAGCTCTTTTGTGGCAGAAGTTGGCATTTTCTTCTCCATTCTTTTATTTCAATTATCTATATTTCTATTCTTTCGTTCCGGAGGCATTGTGGTGTTGTTCTTTTCACCCATCTTCTTGTTTGGTCAGGACCGTGTTCTTTCCTTGGTTTATCCATTTAACCGGAGTGTTGTGCCCTTCTGTTCAAGTTCTTTTCGTCTTATCAAGTTTCATATCTCTTTCTACCGGAGTGCTGTCCGAATTTGTTCTTCCTTGTTCCCCTTCCCTACCGGAGTGTTTTCAACTTTGTTCTTCTTTGTTGCATTATTCCTTTCAATTTGTTCAACCTCTCAAGGTTCTTTGGTTTCACTCGTTTGTCAAAGAAGCAACTTAGTTTTACCCCACTTGTCTTTCTCTTCCGTTTTTCCCTCCGGTGCCATTCTAGATCTCGGGACGAGATCCTCTCGTAGTGGTGGAGTGTTGTAACGCCTCGAGACCGATGTGCCAGGTGTCCTCCAGTTATTCGCTGTTGTTGCCTTGTCTTTGCTTGCATGTCATGCATTTCATGTCATGTCATCATCCGCATTGCATCATCATGTTTTAAAACTTGCATCCGTCCGGGTTTCCCAGTTCCTTCCGTTGTCCGTTCTGAGCGCAGACACACTTGCACGCGCCCGCGGCACGTCCGAAATATTATTTTATAAGTGGCCGAAAAATGTTCTCGGAATGGGTTGAAAGTTGGCATGTGGTGTTGTTATGTTGTAGGTAGACCGCCTGCCAAGTTTCATCGGATTCGGAGTTCGTTTGATAGCCCAACCATTAAACTATAGCGGCAATATAGTCGGTCTAACATCGGACGTTTTCGGTCTCCGAAAACTGTTGCCGGGCCTCGCTCTCCTCTCTTCTCAGCCCATCTCTCTCTAGCACAGTCCATCTAGCCCACCTATCTAACCCCCTCCGCTCCGGTTCGTCCGATCGAGATCGAACGGCTCCGAAACGGACTAAAACCCCCAACCCTAGCTCCTCCTGCTATATATAGCAGCCCCCCCTTGCCATTTTTGGCCTTCTTCCACCCTCCTCCTCATTTTCCGCGCAGCCCCAGCCTCCACCCGCCACCCGACGCCGCCAGATCCGCTCCGCCGCCGCCACTTGGCCTCCTCCAGCGCCGCCAACTCGCCGTCGCCATGTGGCGCCACCCCAGTGGGCAGCATCACCGCCCCGCCCAACCAGGCGAGGCCACGTCGCGCCTACCCCCCCACTTCGCCGCGGGCCTCGAGACCCATCGTGGGCCCGCCAGGGCCCAAGCCGCCCACCGCCGTCGCCCGTAGGCGCCCGCGAGCGCCCGAGCCAGGGGCCCGTCCCGAGCGCCCAAGATCTTCCCGAGCGCCGCTGGTGGCCGTCGTCCGCGCCGGAGTCCGCTAGCGCCGTCCCCTGCATCCTCCCGCATCTACGACCCCTGCACCGCCATCTGTCGCCGCCCCGCCGTCCCCTGCTCCCGCATCCCTCAGGAGGTGCTGCGCCAAGGCCTCGTTGCAGGAACCTCGTCGGTGTCTCCTTCCGTCCCAGATCCAGCGCCCCTCCTCCGTCGATGCCCGGCCTCACAGTCGCCGGAAACGGATGCTCTCGCCTCGCCTCCTTCCGGATCCGGCAAGTCCTCGGCTGGATCTGGCTTCCACAGCCGCCGCCCGCAGTCGAAGCTCATCGGCATCGTCCTGCCTCGTCCTCATCAGGAGGTCGGGGATGAGTCCCTCCCATCATGGGCCCCGTTGGCGGAACCGGCCCACCTTCCTCCCGCGGCCTGCACTCTCCCCTCGCCCGGCCTGCCAGCCTCTCTGCGAACTGGGCCGAAGCCCATGGCTGAGCAGCCTTCCCCAACGCCTGTTTCGGTTGGGCCAGCCAGATCCAGCCCGCTATGTTTTTTTGCTGTCCAGTGATTTTAGAAATTATCCAGAGAATTGCAGTTTTACAGAAAAACCCTTGCAGTTCATGCATATTGTAACTCACAAACGATGCATCATATTAAAATAAACTTAATATGAAAAATGCTTAGAATTTTTTCTAGTTTCATAATATGTCATTTCCATCCATGTTTAAAATGTTTAAGATGTTGTTTGATTAAATTTGCTCCTATGCCATGTTAAAATGCTTTAATTCATAACTAAATAACCGTAACTCCGAATTTAATAAACTTTATATGTAATTGGGGTGGAATTTTGCCTAGTTTAACATGGTGGCATCATCTTGCATGTTTAACAACTCTAAAATAATGTTTAGGGCAGAACAGTACCGAACCTAATATATGCACATGAGGAGTTTCCGGATTTGTTGTTCGTTGCTTCCGGCCTCATTTAAACTTGACTAGATAGGTAGTTTTACTTTGCTTCACTCTCTTGCCATGCTAAAAATATTTAATATTGTTGAGTACCTAAACGAGAGAGAACTAAATAATTCATGTGGTGTTCCGTCAATATGCAACTTGTTGCATATGGAGCTCCACTTAATTTGTAGGATTGTTTGTGAACTTTGCCATGCCATGCCTCATTAAACCGGACATGCATCATACTTGTTTGCGCATCATGCCATGTTTATGTGGTGGTTGTTTACTATGTTGTTTGCTTCTTTCCGGTGTTGCTTCTTCGGGTTGGTTCCGTTAACGTCGTGTTTGTGAGGAACCGTTCATCTACGTCCGTTTGTCTTCTTCATGGACTCGTTCTTCTTCCTTGCGGGATTTCAGGCAAGATGATCATACCCTCGAAATCACTACTATCTTTGCTATGCTAGTTTGCTCGCTCTTTTGCTATGTCAATGCTACGATGCCTACCACTTGCTTTCAAGCCTCCCAAATTGCCATGTCAAACCTCTAACCCACCATGTCCTAGCAAACCGTTGATTGGCTATGTTACCGCTTTGCTCAGCCCCTCTTATAGCATTGCTAGTTGCAGGCGAAGATTGGAGGCCGTTCCTTGTTGGGATATCACAATATATCTTATTTAATTAATGCATCTATATACTTGGTAAAGGGTGGAAGGCTCGGCCTTATGCCTGGTGTTTTGTTCCACTCTTGCCGCCCTAGTTTCCGTCATATCGGTGTTATGTTCCCGGATTTTGCGTTCCTTACGCGGTTGGGTAATAATGGGAACCCCTTGACAGTTCGCCTTAAGTAAAGCTCTTCCAGCAATGCCCAACTTTGGTTTTACCATTTTCCACCTAGCCTTTTCTTTTCCCTTGGGAGTCGCGCTCCTGAGGGTCATCATTATTTTACCCCCCCGGGCCAGTGCTCCTCTGAGTGTTGGTCCAACTGAGCGATGTCCGGGGCTACCAGGGGCAACTCTGGGCTGGCCTACCCGACATCTGGCTCATCTGAGTGTGCCCTGAGAACGAGATATGTGCAGCTCATATCGGGATTTGTCGGCACATTCGGGCGGTGTTGCTGGTTTAGTTTTACCCTGTCGAAATGTCTTGTTGTACCGGGATACCGAGTCTGATCGGAATGTCTCGGGAGGAGGTCTATTCCTTCGTTGACCGTGAGAGCGTGTGATGGGCTAAGTTGGGACACCCCTGCAGGGACTTGAACTTTCGAAAGCCATGCCCGCGGTTATGGGCAGATGGGAATTTGTTAATGTCCGGTTGTAGAAAACCTGAAGTTAACCTTAATTAAAATGCATCAACCGCGTGTGTAACCGTGATGGTCTCTTTCCGGCGGAGTCCGGGAAGTGAACACGGTGTTGGAGTTATGCTTGACGTAGGTTGTTCTAGGATCACTTCTTGATCATAGATTCTCGACCGTGCTTTGCCTTCTCTTCTCGCTCTCTTTTGCGTATGTTAGCCACCATATATGCTAGTCGCTTGCTGCAGCTCCACCTCATACCTTTTACCTTACCCATAAGCTTAAATAGTCTTGATCGCGAGGGTGCGAGATTGCTGAGTCCCCGTGGCTCACAGATACTTCCAGAACCAGCTTGCAGGTGCCGATGAGTCCGTGCAGATGACGCAACCAAGCTCAGGAGGAGCTCGTTGAAGATCTTTTCCTTTGTGTTGTTTCATTCTAGTTGGTCAGTAGTGGAGCCCAGTTGGGGTCGATCGGGGACCTTGTCGCATTTGGGGTTCTTTTATTTTGGTTCCCTAGTCGGACCTTGATTGTATTTGGATGATGTAATGCTTTATTCATGTATTGTGTGAAGTGGCGATTGTAAGCCAACTATGTATCTCTTTCCCTTATGTA